AAAAACTGAAGAGCCGTGAACCAACAAAGGGCGCGCGTGCATTAATTCTTTCTCCCACGAGAGAGTTGGCTGTGCAAACATACAAATTTATCAAAGAGCTGGGTCGTTTTATGGATCTGAAAACTATTTTAGTACTTGGTGGTGATTCTATGGACTCTCAGTTTTCTGCTATACACACTTGCCCAGACATAATAGTCGCCACACCGGGTCGTTTTCTGCATTTGTGCGTCGAAATGGATCTTAAGCTTAATTCAGTGGGTGAGTATTCATTAAGTTGTAAGAACTTAGATATATGTAGGTATTTTGCTTTTTATATCACGTGCTTACTTTTGTTATGCAGAATACGTAGTGTTCGATGAAGCAGATCGATTGTTTGAGATGGGTTTCGGCGAGCAACTAAATGAAACTTTACATCGCTTACCCGCAGGAAGACAAACGGTCCTATTTTCGGCAACGCTTCCTAAATTATTGGTAAACTTTGCCCGTGCTGGCTTAAACGATCCAATTCTGCTGCGATTAGGTATGAAGAGACATATACATATTTTCCATGGATATTGTTAGTTACACTAATGGATTTATTTACAGATGTGGAGTCTAAAATACCAGAGGGTTTAATGCTTAAATTCTTATATTGCCGTCCAGATGAACGTTATACTGCTTTGGTTGTGTTACTCAAATACGTAATACCGGAAGATGCTCAAACTGTGGTTTTTGCAGGCACACAGCATCACGTCGAGTTGCTCTGTTATGTGAGTAATTCTGTAAAGTAAAGTGATACCAAATGAGTTGAATACCAATAGATTTTTTTTAAATTAGATTCTTACAAAATGTGGCATATCCAATACGTCAGTGTATTCTAGTTTGGATCCTGCTGCACGTAAAATTAACACCGCAAAATTTGTAAACAAAAAGGTATCTGTGCTCACCGTAACTGATGTGGCGGCACGTGGTATTGATATACCAAGTTTGGATTTCGTGGTCAATTTTCATTTCCCAGGAAAGCCAAAACTGTTTGTCCATCGTGTGGGACGTTGCGCGCGCGCGGGACGTACCGGCACTGCTTATTCAATTTTTTCTACTGATGACGCTGCTCACGTTTTGGATCTACATTTATTCCTTAATCGTCAATTCAATATAAATGATAGTAAAACTGTTGGTGTTGCACCACAGGATTTGTTGGAGGAGGAACATCTATCTGTTACAGAAGTCAAGAAAAGTCATGACATTGTGAGTAATCTGTTGGTTCCATGAATCCCTGCATTTTTGAATATGAATAACTATTTCTGTAATTTTTTTTAAGGCCGGTGTGTTTCGTACGAGTGAAAACGCGTATAAAAAGTATTTATCGTCACGGCCCGTGGCCTCAACAGAATCAAACTCTCGTATAAAAAAGATTAAGTTTTATAGTTGCAAACCTTTGGATGATTTCTCGTCGGTTGAAAAATCAGAAAGTTTGAGTAGTGAAAACCAAATGAAATCGAAGGAAGAAGCAGCGTCAGAAGAACGTAAGTTGCAAGAAGAAAAGCATGACTTGTTGATGAAAATGCGAAACTTTAAACCCTCTACAGTAAGTGCCAATATAAAGAAACTTTACGTTTTGAAATAAAATATTGTGCTGTTTATTCCATCTTAGACGATTTTCGAGTTGAATCGCCATCAAAAATCTGTTCCGTTTACTACAATGAAAGAAAAGCGTTCGAAACATACAGAAGTTATTGAGAAATATAGGAATAAAATGGTTGAAATTGAAAAGGAGGAAGCCAATAAGCAATTAGAAGAAGAGGATAAAGAAGAAGTACTTTTAAAATGATTATTATACTCTATATATCTGCTCAAATCCTCAATCATGTTATTTTAGGCAGATGAAGCTGACGCAGATGATATTAATGCAGCGTTTGACACAATAGTCGCTCCAAAGAAACGAAAGAACCTGGAAGACTTGTATAAGAATAAAAAGAAAAAGAAGAAGTCCAATGTTAAGGACGCTGAGAACTATATCCCGTACCAGTCTGCAGACAAACACACCGAAGATGGCCTTGCCATTAATACCTTCGAGCGACAAGCCATGAATGCAGAATTCTCTGTGGTAGATCGTGACAGCAATACGGACATGCGCCACAAGCCAGGCATGAAAAGATGGGATCGAATTAAGAAGAAAATGGTGTCTGTCCAAGATCCACGTGCTAATAAAATACGTTCTGAATCGGGTGCCTGGATTCCAGCCTCTTTCAAGACTGGCCGCTATAATGACTGGAAAGAAAAATCAAAAATCGAAGAACAGTTGCAGCGTGAAAACGACAGCGATGACGATGGATTCAAACCACTTCATCAGTCACAACGTTATCCTGTTGGACGTCATGCGCGTCACAATGCAAAGGTGGCGGGCAAGAAGCGAGCAGGTGGTGGCGAGAATGAACTGCGTCATCCTGAACAGATAGTAAAGGCGCGTATGCGTTTAGAATTTATCAAGAAGCGTAATGCAGACAATGCATTGCGTAAGGCTGAGAACAGGAAGCGCAGTATGCGAAAATCTCAGCGGACCAAGTCAAAGAAAGGTGGCAAGAAATAGTGGAAAATCGAGATGAGAGTGTAGTTGAAAAGATATTAGGGCTATATGTATGTGGTATCTATAGTGTTTGGTAGGTTATCCAATAAAATTCTAGATTGAAGCGCTGTTACGGAATACAAGTACATAAATCGAGAACCCTTCTAATGTGTTTTTATTATAAAGAATGTAAATAAATGTGGAGGTATATATTCTCTATTAACTAAAAAAATTTTTACATTTTTCTTAATCTAGCTTCGAAAAAGTGTTTATATCAAAAACAAGTTTTAAAAGTTTTAATAACATAGTTATTAAATTTGAGATCCGAATACAGATTCACCTTGTAATTTGTATTTGTAAGGTTTAATTTTTTATGGAAATGGCAGCCACAGTATACTGTGATGGCAGCCCTTAACAATCAGCTGATTATTTAACTACCAGTAGATGGCGCGCGCGTTGATTTCATATGAAAAATTTATTTGACATTACATATCTGTGTGGGAAGGCGTGTTTTTTATTTCTTCCTGAGTTCTATCAGTTCTGTTTGTGCATAAATTAATAAATTTCGCCGAAAATACGACAAAAGCACATAGGGGCTTCCAGCAGTGATAACGTGTCGGCTGCGCGAATTATTATTTATACGCGAGTGTTAATTCTCAGCGAAATCGGTCCGTTGAAAAAGTGAACTCCATGGCAGGTCATCTATAATTACAAGAAGAAAAAAAAGGAAAACATTACCGAGGCCAAACAAAATCGCCGCGCAAATAATTGTTCGGATTTCGTTTCTTTGTGTCTGAAAATAAAAATACTATGTAAAGCGAAAAATTTCACAATTGATTAACGTCACAGGCACTACAACCTCCGGCCATTCCACGAAGACTGCCTGCGGGTAGGAAGTAAGAGCAACCCCCATTTGCAAGCATAGCTGCTGCGCACAGATCCAAGGGCAGCTGAATCATGCAGGCACCAACCACTGCGGAAAATGCCTAATCGTTTAGTTCATACCCACAGTGTTTGTCCAAGTAATAATCAAGAATAAATTTATTTTGTGCGCGTATGCAAATTAATTCCAAATCTGGCAAATTAAAATTGCAAATATTCGCCAACTTTTTATATCAAAAGAGTAAACGCAACTTGTGTTTAGCGGGCTGAAGTTAACCAAATAATGGATAGCTCAATGGTGTTGGGTGTATTTCGCAACGCGAACGTCGGAAGTGCCGATACAGACAACGACATGGATATGGATGATATTGACGCTATGTTTCGAGCTTCAACAGTCGTCGATCTATCATCCACAACGACTTCTGCGCCGAATACCGATCCGTCGGTGTCAATGAACAACTTTTATCCTGCATTGGTACAATGTTTCGGCATAATTATTTGTGGGTGAGTAGGTACATATTTTACAAATACAGTGTAGGCGGTGAGCTGCCTTCCGCTGCTAGTTAAGAGCTCATTGATAAACCCCGACGTCACAATTGTTTCCGGTGCTTTATTATTCCTTAAGTTCATTTTGCTACACGAAACTAGGCATAAAAGAATTAATCTATCGAAAAATACATAAATATTAAACATACCAAAATACATTTTGTGCATACCTACATTAACTGTTCGACTGCTTCTGTTTTTTGCGCTTCTTTAACTTTAATGTGCATCTTAATGTTTTCATAAAAATACAGTTAAATTTTTTATGGTAACCTATGTATATTATCTATATATTTTGAACTGGCACTATATGTAGACCAAGTAAGAGTCCTAAGAACTCTGCAAATGCTAGAACCAACAGTGCTAAATACACCGCTTCCGACAGAATAGCCTTGGCCAGGTACTTCACGAGTTGCAAGTTTTACAGGATTTATGTTGTTGTTGTTGTAGCGGCTACAACAACCCCGCCCAGATCGGTTGGTATCTCAGTCGTTGTCGTCAAGTTCCACTAACGGCAACCCTAGGAAGCGGGCAGCTTCTGTGGGGTTTGACCACAGGGACAGCCGTTAGGGTTGTCGGGTTTTCCGGGCATGCGAAGAGATGTTTCGCGTCATGTGGGGTCCCTCCGCATGCCGGACACTCATTCGGCACATCCTCTCTCAACCTACTCAAGTAGGAGTTCAACCTGCTGCAGTAGCCGGAGCGATTTACAGGAAAAGCTGTTTTCGCCATTAATAAACCTTATGAAAGGTGGCGACCTGGAATAAATTCCTTTAAAAACCGGCAAAGGCTTTAGAATTAGAAACGTCAAGAATTTGAAAAGTGACTCTCAGCGGTTCTACCAATGCTTTAGAATACAACATCATTTCTAACCGACTTCCAAAAAGGATGCGTCTAAATACCGAATACCGGACATTAAAAGAAATACAGAACATTTGGCGCCCCGTATAAAATAATTAAATTACCAGGACATGGGTCAAAAAAGATGACTATCCCGCGTAATACAGGACGGATGGTCACCGTAGTTATGACTGATGTTTCACGAGCCGGTAATGTGAACCGACAACTAAATGGTTGCAAGACAGACTCCAAACCACACGACCACGACGACGGCAGTCGGGTCTAATAAGCGGAAAGCCCCACTTCTTTGTCTGGCCAAGGACTATCTCTCCAGCTAATTCCGCAAAAACTATTTATGGTGTTACAACAAACACAACCAAAACGGTATTCGTAAGGGCATTCGTATTAAACGTCTAATCAATACGTACACAAGAAATGTCCAGTTATTTCTATTTCCAGCCAGCAAAATATCCGGAAACATTTCGAGAAATTTCATCCGTTTTCTGATTCATTCTTCCTGTCGTTTTTTCGGATCCATTCTTCTACTAAAGTGTGCAGCCCAAACGTATGTCTTGAAAAATACTGAAAATGGTTGTGGCTGTTTTTCTGACTAAATTTTTCGTTGAAAACCCTTTCATTCTGAAATTCACAGATGTTATTTTCCTTTTTCATAGTTACTGAAAACCAACCAAACAAACAAATATTAGGTTCATTGAATACTCCTCAGCCACTGACAGAATAGGCATAATGCTTTCAAATGTTGTGTTTGAATATATGTATATTATAAAACACAACTTTTTCGGACGTTTTGCGACTACGAAAAATATACGCAAATATTAATTCACCTTGTCGTTTACTATCATTTCTGGACACGAACAAGGCACTGTCGGCAAAATGTAAATTTCTCTGCTGGCTGGGTATCTATGTTGTTGTTGTTGTAGCGGTTACCAAACCCCGCTCATCCGTCAACGTTGTCGTCTGTTTCAGCTGAGGGGAGGCCCAGGAAGTGTGCAACTTCCACAGGGTCTGTCCATAAGGACAGGGGCGTCAGCTGGGTGGGGTCTCAGGGCATTTGAAGAGGTGCCGAGAGTCATGTGGCGACTCTCCACATGCCGGGCATTCGTTGGGCACATCCTCATTAATTCTGCTCAGGTATGAGTTGAGCCTGCTGCAATAGCCAGAGCCAAGTTGGGCTATTGTGGTGCGGGGCAGACAAAGTTCTGTCCCGTCCACGTCCGGTGGTGCTGGGTATCTATCCATACTCACAGTTACCATACCCATTCGATAAATTCAGGAGTTAAAAGCCCTTCCAAAATGCCTTACTGAGAGACAATAGGCCATCGACTTTGCATTCATTTCTCCTTTCTTTTTTGTAAATAGGAAAAGTCCTCCTAAACGGCAAGCAGAGAAGCACTTTTTTCAGCCCTTCTTGGATAGGCCTTTTAGAATAGCGTCACTTAAGAAGGCCTATCTAAATTATCTTCTGGGTATATTAAGTAGGTGGTTGACGCAGATATTTACTGGAAATATTAAAGTAATTTTATCGCACTAAGTACGTGATGACACCAACAAAAATTAATAAAAACAAATTCCATTTACTTTCAAAAATAATAATTTTTTGTTTATGGAACGGCATTTGCTAATTTAATTAAACTTTTTTTTTAATTTTGTTGAAACAAATTTAGAAAGGAAGTTATGAAAAAAATTATTCGCGGTCTCTTTTATGCATTACAAAATATGTAGTGTGATAATCCGGAGACGACTTTTCAGAATGAAGGCGCTCCAGATTGCTTTGCTACACAATACTTTATTTTTTCTCTTCTCATTGTCTCTGCTTAGTAGCAACTGCTGGAGCTGAGAACTTAATTTCTTCCATGTTCCTGGAAGATATGGCCTTCCTTTTGATATAACCCTCTATCAAAATTTAGTAAAGCCGGCATAGTTTTTGTGAACCATGCCACCGTCCTAAATGTTACAATTATCTTAGGGTTCTCAAGTTGCATCAGATACTTCATTTCGGCGATTCGAATTTTTGGTGGCATTGATTTGGTGGGATTGATATTGTTTCATTGGTAGATTTATAGGCTGGAGATATTTTGTTTGCGATATCATAATAGCATATACATAAATATAGATATGTTCCTCATGATCAGAGGTGGGCACTACAACAAACAAGCGTTAGCTAAAAGTGAGAATGTGTTAGTGTATACGTACACGCGAAAAGTAGCAACGGCTTGAGAGAAAAGAAATTATATCAGGGAATATGAATGACTCTTTGTTGGGGTTTCTATGCATTTGTAAAAAACTGATTTCTAGAATTATTAATTGCTAGCAGAGAACTACAAGTATTTCTTCATTTGTACTTATTAAAAGTAGCAAACAACTGCGTATGTTTTTTTAATTAGATTCATTCGATGGCGCTACTTACTCACTACGAGAATTTTATAACTGTCTTGTTGTAATTGAGACTTATATCATGACTTACAGCCAAAACACCATTTAAATACCACATTTCTCACAAGATTGCGGCATGTCGTACAACATTTCACATTATCGGGGCTTGTTATCTAAGTACAAACGGAGTAATATCTCTTCTTACTTACATACATATGTACATGTTGACATCTAGTACTTACATTTGTGAATCATTTTAATTAGATATTTGTAAATAATTAGTGAAAATATATAAAGTACAGCGGTTATCCAACTTGGCAACTAATCGATCGAATTTGCATACATACATACACACATGCAAAGAAATAAGTACATCTTGTTTTGATTATAAAGATTTTCTTTATTTTAAATTACGAGAATTATAATAAAAATAAGGATAATAAGGATTACTCTTGTATACAATTGATTTATGTCAAACATAGTCAGTAATAAATAGGTTGACTGACGTGAGGTATGTAGATAACGCGGAAAGTTTACTAAGCAAAACTCCTCATAGATCTTAGTTAGGTTAAATGCACCACCTTTTCGTTGCTTGATATGAATTCAGTAAATCCTTATTATTATTTTCAAATGAAATATATGTATAAACAATAGTGCATAAGTATGTGTAAATTTGTACGTTCATACTTCCCTGTCTGTAAAATATACATATACATATGTATGTAGTTTTTCATGAAAACATTTCAATTAAATAATTTGCCTTCTGATTACTTTCACGCGATAACGCGGAGTCACAAAGGCACTTAAATTGAATTGAATGAATTTGTCTCGTTCGTTGTAAGGAGTACATATAGTCAAACTAATTTGTGGGTCAATTTTCCAGTTCACTGAATGCGATAAAGCAAATCAATCCCCTACAGTTTGCAAATATGTATATGTATACTTATTGTGATTTTTTCACTCTTAATTATTTAATAATTTAACTACTCAGACTATAAAAAGTGGTGTCGAGCTAAAATCTGTTTACTTACACTCTCAATTTCACTTATCCCTATAGAAAATATGTGTTTGTCTATGAATATTTTGCAGTGGAAGTACGGTTGCCAGACGAACTGACTTTTTAAGTACACCCAGTGGGAATTAGGAGCACGTAATAATATCTTATTAGCAACTTACTCTTCACCTGGCAGTCATTACCATTTCCCTGCCGAACGTCCCTTACTTTTACAAAGGCGTGGCCGCCTTATGTAAGTAGGAATTTACAATGTACATTTGGTATCAGACATACTTCTGAGCCGCTTTACAAAGTAAGTTACGTGTAATGCAGAGAAGTCGCTCGGAGTAGTTCGGCGCTTGGAGATAACTTCGGCTGCACGTTACTTTGCAACTGACATCGTAATGTGTCGTGGGAGGTGTTCATTTTGTTCTTTACTAGTAGATGACATTGGCCATGATGACAATTTTGGTACTAAAAACTGAAAGAAAACATGGCTTACCTCGTAAGGTGCTTACCTATTTTCCCAGTGGGCAATCAGTATGCTAGTGTGCTGATTTTTCAAAATTTGTACTGATTTGTACTGAATTTTCATTTCTGAGCATACAAATATGTAATAGGGGTTTTCCCAATGTGCTTGGTAAGTACTCCGAAAGTCGGTGTTCGGTAATTTCTCCTCATGTATTTTGTTTGTGTAGTAAATAGATATTATTTTACGCAAACAAAATACTTT